TCGATCTGACGCCTCCTTGCCTCATGGATAGAATCGTCATAGGCGACAGGGGGACCAACGAGGTCGTTGCCCTTCGTAGATGCGGTAACACCGTCGATGCCAACAGGTCTTGAGGAGCTGGCCGATGCTGTGGACTTTGATCCCAACATCCCGCGATCCCCCAAGAGTTCGCGTAGCTGTCGATCACGCACGGCTGCCGCATCACTTTTCCCATGAAATCCGCTTGGTATGCCGAACAAAGTGGCTGCACTAGGCGGGGAACGCGCAAGTGCTGGGCTGCTAATACCTGGCACGTAGTGCTCGGGCATTGCATCCGCCACGATTGGCATTGAACTGCGGCCAGTGAAGAAGTTTCCACCGGTGAATGGAATTCCATCCATCACAAGGTTCTTGTCCTTGTCCGATTCCGAGAATGCGAACTTCTCTTTGGCGACTGGACTAACTTGACTTGGGGACCGTATTTCAGGGGATCGTACCTCATCTCCTACGGAAAAGGCAGGCATTACTTCCTTTCCTACGTGCTCCCAGCCAGACTCAGTAGTCCTCGAAGACATGGGCATGCTCGAAGGTCGCGTCGCTCCTCCTTGATTGGAGTTTCGCGCTGCCTCCAATTCGCTGCGTGTCCTCGCTTGAAGATCCTCTTGTGCTTTGAGCGTTTTCCTGAGTTCACTCAGCTCGTCGTGCAAGGTAGGCAATGATCGCCTTGCATGATCTTCATTATGATGAAGTCGATCCTCTGCTTCTTGCATCCTCTTCACAGCCATTTTGCGGTACTCTTCCTCTTCACCAAGACGTTCGCGAAGCCGAAATCGTTCTTGCTCAATGGCTGCGCTGTTTCCAGCCAGCCCTTGGATCTCGTTCACAGCCCGCAACTCCTGGTTCTTGACCAAGTGGAATCGTTCCTGCATTGCTTGTAAGGCTTGTTCCGAACTTGCTGTGTTTGACCGGAGGACCAAGTTCTCTCTGGCGTGTTCATGAAGTTCATGAGTCAGACGCTCATACTCACGTGCCATAAGCTCACCATCGCCTTGCGCTCTTGCCTCCAACTGCACAAAGTTGGTGGCTGCCTCCGTGCGAAACACGTGTAGCTGTTGAGCTAAATCCTCGGCAACGGCATGTGCTTGACGTTGTTGCGCAGAGTTCTGCTCATCCATGCGAAACAAAGCTGTTTCATAGTCTCGCTTCATCTCCTGATTGACATTGTTGATGTGCCTCATGGCTACGCATGCATGGTCACGTTGTCGTTCCAATTCTTCAATGCGAATTCCAGATCCTTCATCTTCTTGTTGCATCTCCTTGATCTTGTCCATCAGGGTCTGGACGATTCCTTCGTATTCTTGCACCTGACTGCGATAGTACATCTGCTGTGCAAGGTTCGATGCTTCGAACTGTTGCGAAATCGTCAGTTCCTGGTAGGCATTCGGACCGTCAGCGATTGCAGGCGTGGCCACGGATGACGCATCACCACGTGCAGGAATCGTATCCAGAGTCATGTCCAGATCGTCAGTATCGCGTGGTTGATTGGTAACCATCCGATTCCAAGTCATGGACTTGTCACGCCCACGAGTAGCCGAAGTACTCGATCGTGCTGAAGAGCTTCTCGAAGATGATGGTCTTGACTTCTTTTCCAAGGTCTTGACTCCTTTGTCCTTGGCCCTGGACGTAGTCCGAGGTGCCTGAAAACCAGACGCTTCGGCCCGTCGTTCTGAAGCCTTGCCCGTCCTCGAACCTGTGGATGTCGGACGCGAAGGCGTAGATGCTCTTGGTAGACTCTTTGTTTTCCCCTTGGGAACTGCCTTTGCAATGGCAAGCGCAGAAGATTGACCTTTGTCATCTTCCGTGGAGCTATCAACGGATTGCACCACTGTGTCATCAGCTGTTGAATCACCAACGGCTGGCGCTGCCACATCGGCACCGAAAGTCATTGTCGTATCTTGGCTTGATCCCGAGTTCATTGTGGTCGTAGTAGATCAAGTAGTCGTTGCTGTAGAAAGGCAGAGCCGCGTACGGCTGATAACCTGCGTGGGGGATTGATCTCGACTTGGTTGCTGCTCTCCCCACCAGAGCTGTAAGGAATGTAGGTGTGGCTGGCTAGCACTCTCCACAGACTGGACCCTGTCTCTCCCTCTTACTTCCACACGTGCGATCCTATGCAGGCAGAACCGGCGGCCGTTCCTTTTGCACTCACTGCCGGCGGCGGTTCGTCTGTGCAACGGGATAGCTCTATATAGCTCTGATTGCTCAGGATAGAAGACACATATAGCACTTAGCTTTGGGCATTGACTTGAGCCAAACGTTGCGTTGGCGGTCACATAGAAAGGTAAAGATGAGGGATGCGTAGCATGCCCCCTAGAGTCGAGGGACGCGTAGCGTGCCCCCTTCTCTTACACTTTACACGGTCTTGCTCACAGCTCTTATAGTGACACCTTAGAACTTGACAAGGCATCGCAGTCCGTTCGCAACTACTACTACTACTACTACTATTACTACTACTACTACTACTACTACTACTACTACTACTACTACTACTACTACTACTACTACTACTACTCCTACCGCTACCGCTACCGCTACCGCTACCGCTACCGCTTCTACCACTACTACCAGTACTACCACTACTACCACTACTACTACCACTACTACTACCACTACTACTACTACTACTACTACTACTACTACTACTACTACTACTACTGCTACTACTACTACTACTACTACTACTACCACTACGACTACTACTACTACTACTACTACTGCTACTACTACTACTACTACTACTACTACTACTACTACTACTATGCTAGAAGAAAGATACTAGAAGTATAACAGGAACTCTAAGGAATAGCATTGTTATCGTTCGCATTTAGCCCCAAGGGGCTGTGGGAAATTGAAAAACCCCTAAACCCAGCAACACAAATGACTCGGGGTGTTTTGCTGAGGAGAGCACGACGACTATCTGGTTTTCCCTGCCAAGGCATGACTGAATCCGGTTTCGGGTTTAGGGTTCTGAGCTCGGACCCAGAGACTCCAACATCCCCAATTGAGGAATATACCTTATATTACACAGGATCCCTAGTATGATCTAAGAATAAGGGCTGTTGGAGTCTTACGAGCATCCACTGGTTCTTTGGCCTCGAAGGTTGAAGACTTCGCCTTACAACGAAGGATCGCTTGGAGAAGGAAGGGTCTGGCTGTGATTGTAGCCACCCCTGCCACAACGCCTGATTTCGGATGTGCTCCGGTAAACAAGTGTGTTATGTACTCCGCCAGAACCTCAACCCAATGATGGTCTTCACCTAGACCCAAGAGTAACCTAGGAATAAAAAGGGTGCCCTTTTTGGTTTAAAGGGGGTTATAAGGGAACCTAAACCCTTAAAAAGGGAATGAGGGCCTACTCTGGGTCCTAGTCACGACTTCTCCAAACAATAAACCCCGAACACTTTAGGCTGAACCCTGAAACCGAGCCCTTAAACTAGACTATCAAATAATCAAACATCATCCTCATGCTCCGAACAACGAAACCTGACTTGAAGAGAACCCTAAAACCCGCAACCCTGAATCCAAACCCAGATTCCACCCTCCCAAAACCCGAAAATCAACCTAAAGACGAAAGCCTAAACTCCAGACCCTAAAAGGCCCTAAAATCCAAATGCACGACCCTAGACCCCAAACGCACGACGGATTGAAACGAAAGAACACCAAACGCTTCCTGGGCCATCGCCGCATCCGAGGCCGCCGAGTGGCCCGAGGTCTCGGCAGTCGTCGTGGCTTTTTTCAATTGCTCCATGTACCCCTTAAGGGTTCCTTTGAGGGTTCTATAAGGGTTCTATAGGGTTTAACGTATAAGGGTCCATGTACCATTATAGTAGGTAGTTAAGCCTTAGAGGGGTCCCTATGTAGGTACCTTTAGGCCTAAGTATATACTATATGGGTACATGGTCGTGTATATACATAGGAAGAAATACAACATATCAATCTACAGTCATAATGTTTTAAAGACATATTATACACATACATAAATGCATACGAAAGTGTAGCTATGCGTCGCATGTAAAAGCATGTGGATGCATACGACTAAAAGTAACATCGCACAGCAAATCATGTCGGTGTTTTACGTTTGTCTGCATGATATCAATGTGTATGTGTGCGAGATCGTATGGTACACGTATACGTATGCGACCAGAACCTTGAACATGCGGGCCGCAGAGCAAAATGGAATCTGTCGGCGCAGAAGAGCACCAAACTTGGCTCTACTCACGCATATGGAGCCTTAAGGCTAGGGCGGCTAGGGTTCAAGCTTTCCGGAGTGTCCCTCTGAACAGAAAAAAGCTCCACACACGGAGCCCCCAACCCAGTTTGGGGCTCCGAAGACCCCCCGCCTGAGTTCATAAGCTCCCAAAATGTACACTTTTAGTTTTATGGTGGGTAATAGTATCCCCAAGAGTGTAAATAAGTGTATCCACTCAGCTACTAAAAATAATACCCCATATAGTCAAGTGGTCAGTACGGCGGTCGGCATTCAATTGCCAGTCTTGAGCGGGGCTACTGAATGCTGCAAGCCTACATCCTAAACCCTGATCCCAGCCCAGCATGCTAGATCTGGCACCTTATGACCCTTGATAGGTTTACTTTGGGATCCGATAACCTACCGTTTTAAGGTTTCTACCTTCTAATTCAGGGGTCATAACCTACTATTTTGTAGGGTTTGGGGACACAGGTATCTTTTCAATGTATATAGGTTGTAGCTCGAGCCACAGGTATACGGCCCCTCTGCAAACCTTTGTCAAATCCCGCAGAAGTCAATCCCAAACCTGCAACCCTGAAGGCAAAAACTGAAGGCTCTTAGGAACAAGGTCTAACAAGATGAAGGTTTGGGGTAATTAGGATGTGCTAGATCTGGTGGATTTATAGCAGAGCAGTGTTACTAGTTACCGGTATTCCGACCACTATACCAAGCCCGTACGTGTGGCTACACTTTGACGCTGCCCAGCGACGAGTGCGCACGGATCAGTGCAGGTAGAGATCCGCTCCACGACGAAATCCTAAGCTGTAGGGGTGCGGGATTCGGCTTTAGGTTTAAAGCTTGGGATATAGGGCGCTTTTGGAGTCGGAGCTTGCATGGGCTTGTTTGTACTTCAACCTTACCTTGTACTTGCTTAACCCCTCGGGAATCACTGCTTATCAAACCCTCCGCCAATATCTGCTGCCCCCACCACTGGATCGTTCTGGCATCGTTCATCACAGACGTTCCACGTAAAAAGAACCCAACCCCGTTTCAGCTTCACAGAAACGCGCGCTTGACATGACACTCGAGCTATATGCACTTTCCCCAACTACTACCTGTAAGGGAACCCCTTTACGGCCTAGGTTTCCACATGAGCCCGGTAAACACCATAAATAATCAAGCCTAAAAAAATCCCAACTAGGCCCTAAAATAAGAACCCCTTAAAGCATTAAAGAAGTCATACATACATATATATATATATATATATATATATGTATGTATATGTATATATGTGTGTGTACCGTACTTTCTGATCCAAACGCAAACCTTGAGCGCTGCTCCTAGCTAAGGGTTCGACTGCCTGTATAAGCCTAAACCTACACCCTAGCATGCAAATTCCAGAAACCTTGGGGCATCGGCACCGTGACCTGTGAGGTGAGCCAGGTGGCGGCACCTGCAGATGCGGGTTCGGGGGTACTCGTGGCCTTCCCTAAGGCTCCATGTACCCACATAGTATATACTTAGGCCTGAAAGTACCTATATAGGGACCCCTTGAAGGCTTAAGCATCTACTATAAAGGTACATGGAGCCTTTGGGCTTTGATCCTTTTGATCCTCCGCAACCTCTTAAACCCTACGTAGTATGAACCGTTAAAATATATGGTGGCAGCCCCAAACTTGGAAGATGCGCACCCAAAATTTCAGCACCCCACAATTGGAATAAAACACATCTTCCAACTTTGGATTCTTCCAAGTTTGCAACCTTCCAACTTGTGACCACAGCATGAACCGCTCCAAATGCCGGGACCTAAAGTTGGAAGATGGGACCAAGCAGACCCAACATTGACTTGCAGTTTCTCCATCTCTCTCTCTCTCTCTACACTACTGGAGTAATTGCAGTTTTTCTCCCTCTGCAATACTTGAGCGGCCATGGTATTTGCAGTTTCTCTCTTTCTGCAATATTGGAGCGGTCGCAGGAATTGTGCAACACTGGAGCGGTCCTAGGAATTGCAGTTCTCACTCTCTGCAATATTATTGGAGTGGTCGTAGTATTTGCAGGTTTTCTCTCTGTGCAATACTGGAGCGGTCGTAGTATTTGCAGCTTTTCTCTCTTTGCAATACTGCAGAGGTCGTAATACTTGCAGTTTCTCTCTCTCTCTCTCTCTCTGCAATACTGGAGCGGTCGTAGTAATTGCAGGTTCTCTCTTTCTGCAATACTGGAGCGGTCGTAATACTTGCAGTTTTTCTTTCTTTCTGCAATATTGGAGTGGTCGTAGTAAGTGCCGTTTCCCTCTCTCAGCACTACGAGAGCGGTCGAAGCAGTTGCGGTCTCTCTCTCTGCATTACTGGAGCTGCTTCCCAAAAACCGAAAGTTGGAAGATACGGTTACCGCATCAACCGGTCCAAACACCGGGACCTAAAGTTGGAAGATGGGACCAAGTCAAACCCAAAGTTGGAAGATGCCGTTGCCGCATCAACCGTTCCAATTGCCGCCTTCCAACTTTCCGGCGGCTACTGTAGGGTCTAATCCCTAAAACGCGATCCACCGGTATGTAGTATGAACCCTTGATTAACTCGGCAGGAACCCCAAACTGTACCTCATGGTGCGTTTTATAGAATCTTCCGGGAACCCGTTAACCAAAACATACATCAACCCTGAATCCTCCAGGACCCCCCAATGGCCCTTTCATGGAGCCCTGATGGTCCTTAATAGTGGGTATTTGGGGGTATATTAGAGGGTGGTTGGGGGGTCTAGGCTTGAGCCCTCTGTTCTAATGCCTAAACCCTTGCCCCTGATGGAACCCCTAGCCCTAAACCCGTAGTTTATTGCCGTGACACCATTGGACTAAAAAACTATCAGCCCAAAACCAGAAACCTTATACCGTAGAACAACCCTACTTACTCCGCAGAGGAACCATAAAATCCTACGGGTATCCCTTAAAGGAACCAGGATTGTATCAGTACCTAGTACGCCGATAGGATCCGGGAACCCAAAACCCCTAAACCCTTAACCCAAAACCCAAAACCCGTAAACCCTGAACCCTTAAACCCCTAAACCCTACGGCCTGAACCCCTAAACCAGACTTGAAGGCATCCACTTCCGCTTCTTCGCCCGTCCGAGTCCGTTGCAAACGATGGTAACTTAGACTTAAACCCCTAGACAGCAAAAAACCTACATCTTACACTTGCAACCGTCAACCCTAAACCCTTAAACTCTAAACTCAACCTGTGACCCCAAACCCTACAAAATAGTAGGTTATGATCCCTTAATTAATTAGAGAGTAGAACCCTTAAAACGGCAGGTTTTCGGATCCACAGGAAATCCCTAAACCCAAAGCCTGATATAGTATGGTCCGGTCATTGGGACCAAAACCTTTAGGTTTAGGGCTTGATATATCATTCTTTTTGAACCCCTCAAACCCCCTACCTGTGGATCCAAAAACCTACCGTTTTAAGGGTTCTAATTACCTTCTAATTAAGGGGTCATAGCCTACTATTTTGTAGGGCTTGGGGTCAGAGGTAAGAGAAAGGACCCGAAGACGAAGCCGCGCCTCAGCCCCGGCCCGCGAACGTAACCACGAAGGCTCAAGGAGCCGTCAGAGGGCGAGTACCTGGAGGTGTTGAAAAAACTTGGAGGGTCGGGGGACATAGTAAGTAGATTTATAAGTACCATATCCCCAATTGGGAACCCACTTAGGGTACTCATAACTCTAGTTACTACCTACTTACTAAGTCCCCCGACCCTCCAAGTAGGGGCCTGAATAATTAGAATAGGGCTCCTGTAAAGGGCTCCTAGGAGGGATACTCTAAGGCTACTATAAGGAGTATGGGGATATAGGGGGCTTAATAGTTAAAATAGCGGTTCCTGTTTGAAGCCTCACTGTTTAAAGGGGTTTAGGGTTTATGGCTTATTAGAAGGATTTTGAGACTTATAGGGTTTAAGGTTATAGCCTTTACAGGGGCTGTCTATAAGGGTTAGGATTAAGGCTATTATAAGGATTTCATTTAGGGGCCTTAATAATTAGACTAGGGCTCCTTAAAAGGATTCCTTTAAAGGGGATCTAGTAAGGCCCACGTACTAGAAGAGCTCTATGATATAGGGGCCTTAGTAATTAGAATAGGTACCTGGAGGTGTTTAGACCCCCCCTAAGCATCCAAAGGAGCCAATAATTAGGAGTTGGGGTTTAGGGTTTAGGGTTAGCTATGTAGCTGATAATTCAGGAGAGTATACGATCATAGGATACTTTGGACCCTAAGCGTCCTGTTTAAGGGGTTCAGAGTTTAGGGCTTATTTTGAGGTCTCAAGGTTTAGGCTTTAAAGTTATCCGGTTTAGGCGTTATGGGGGGCAAGGGTTCTCTAAGGGTTCTATGGTGGTTCGGGGTTTAGGACTCTGTTTCGGGGCTTGTCAGGGTTCTATAGCGGCTCGGGTTCGGGGTAAGGCTAAGGGTTTAGGTTCAGGGTTTGGCTTTAGGGCTCCGTTGCTAAGGTTTCTATACTTAGACCCCCCAACAACAATGTAATATGCCCCAAATACCAACTACTAAGGACCACAAGGTCTCTATTAAAGGCAATTGAGGGGTCCTGGCAAGTTTAATGGTTCATGGGTCCTCGAACGGGATCCATAGGGTTGAGGGTTCCTTAAGAGGGGTCCTCGAAGGCATCTATAGGGTTTAGGGTTTTGGGCTCCTTTCTACGGGTTCTACAGGGCATCGGGTTTGCCTTCCTCTTAGGGGTTTTATAAGGCTTATGGTTAACCTACGGATCCAGAACCTACCGGGTTAAGGGTTCTACCCTCTAGTCGCGATCTAGGTAAGGGGTCATAACCTACTATTTTGAAGGGCTCACGGCTGGGGGTTTCGGCTTCTGCTGCAGGCTTCTACAGGAGTTACGCCTAAGGGGCTTTCTCTAAAGGGTGCGAAAGCTCTTGGAGTTCAGGGTCAGGGTCGAGAGACTCCATAACCCCTCAAACTATGGCATTAAACCATAAATCCTACCTTGGGATCCGAAAACCTACTGTTTTAAGGGTTCTACCTTCTAATTAAGGGGCCCTAACCTACTGTTTTGTAGGGTTTGGGGATACAGGTAAACCCTAAACCCTAATTCCTAAACCCTAAAGCAGTGTCAAGTTTCGTTTGACACGCTCTTTCGGGATTACTTTAAGGGTCCTAACACTCTGAGGAACCTCAGAATGTAGGATTTCCGAGAGCCCAAACAGATGCAAGGACTCTCCTGGGACATTCCAGACCCTCCTAAGGAGATACCTGGACCCTGAGGGTAGGGGACAGGGTTTAGGGCGGGCCGAAGCTTCTTTTCCTGAAGGGTCCGAAGTACCTATAAAGTAGAATGTACCTTTAGGCTTCCTTTGTTCCTTTAAAGGGATTTGTATAAGGCTCTATATAGTACAGTGTGATAAGGGTTCCTTTAAGGTTTCTTTAGGGTTCCTGTGTAGGGATCTATACAAAGCTCAACATAGTAGAATATCGGCTTTGTTCAGGGTTTCAGGTTTTTTTTATAGTAGAATGTAGGGTTTCTTTAGGGTTTCCTGTTCAAGGGATCTATAAGGGCTTTATTTCGTAGAATGTATGGCTTCTGTAGTGTTTCCTTTAAAGAGATCTACGAAAGGCTCTATACAATGGAATGTAGAGTTTCGTCAGGGTTTCCTCTAAAGGTATCTACAACAGGCTCTATACAGTTGAATATTAGGAATTACTATCATGATTTGGGGAAGGATCCCCTTACTAGTACCAAGGATCATTTGGGTTTGCAGGGTTCTGTAGGGGCTTGGATATAAGGTTTAGGGTTCCTTTCAAGGGTTCTATACGTGTTAGGATCAAGATTTAGGGCTTCTTTCGAGGGTTCTCTCGGGTTCAAGGTCTACGCTTTAGGGGTTCTGCTTTGGCTGTAAGGGTGCTTTTCAGCATTCATTTACGGGTTCCTTAAAGGCAGGGTTCCTGTAAATGTTTAGGATTTGGGGTTCGTAGGGGTTTAGGGTTTATTTAGGCAGTACCCGCGGGATTTGTGTGTTCGTAGGTTTAGGAGTCTGAGTTTAGGAATCATGCAGGGGGGGGTTCGTGAGTTTAGGAGTTTTCCAGGTTTCTAGGGTTTAGCATAGCTTAAGATTCTGATGAGGATCTGAGGGTTCAGAGTTCCGTGGCTTTAAGAATCGTAGTTTCTGAGCCTAAACCCTCAAGGCCCTAAACCATTTTCTTGTAAGCTCTGAGGACTCATAGTTTTAAGGTTTTTGGGCCCAAAGACCATACTATATAAGGCTTTTGGGTTGTTTGAAGCCTTAGGGTTTTTTTGAAGCCTTAGGGTTTAGGCTAGCACTCGGGTAGAGGCCTACACCCTAAACCCTGAAGTTAAACAGTCTAAGCACCCTCTAAGCACCCCTAGGCTCCTTTTGGAAGAGCCCTGAGGGGCAGACTCGTTTTGACAGAACCTCGCCTGCATGTGATGATGCTATTCGCACCGCTTCTCTTTGCAATCCTTGTGCAGCTGATCTGCTGCAAATATAGAGCATTGGACGACGTGCAAGACTAGAATGCGCTGCTTATTCTACATCAGATCCCGCACAGGAGGGTATTTACCACCGGCGCTAGACTCACCCCAGCTCACGATCGAGCCGTCAGCAAGAACAGCTGCAAAAACATGCTGAGTTGCTTGGATCTGCTGCACATTCTTCAGCTGAGCCTGCACAGCAGTGCAGTCTCCACCAGAACCCGCACGACCCCAGGTGACGACAGATCCGTCACCAAGAATGGCTGCAAAAGCAAACCAAGTAGCTTGAATCTGCTGCACATTCTTCAGCTGGTCCTGCACAGCACCACTGTCTCCACCAGAAAAAAGAACCCCAGGCCACGACAGATCCATCGGTAAGAATGGCAGCAAAAGATTCTCCAGTAGCTTGAATCTGACGCACATTTTTCAGTTGGTGTTGCACCCTACGACTGTCAGCACCGCCAACAACACCCCAGGTCACGACAGATCCGTCACCAAGAATGGCAGCAAAAGCAGTACCAGTGGCTTGAATCTGCTGCACATTCTTTAGCTGATCCTGCACAGCACTACCCAAAGGCTCTTCGATTGATAATTATCGATCGAACGCTCGAAAATATTGTATTTTCTATCTACGCTCGAAAAACCTTTTTAAGCTATGCAAATCAGTCGAACAACTGGGTGGTTCGCTCGATTCCTCGATTGAATTTACATGAAACTTCGCTCGATTCCTCGATTGCATTTACAACTCCACCGCTCGATTCTTCGCTCGATTCCTCGATCGAATTTCAAGTGACCAAAGTGTATATTGATTTCCCCATATATCGTTCATTTTTCTACTCTGTATATATATATATATACATATACATGTATATAGATGTGTATATATATATATATATATATGTATATATATATATATATATATATACACATATATTTATAGATGCATATATATATACACACACACACATATATATATATATATACATATATATATGTATATATATACATATACATATATATATATATATGGTGTAATATAATATATAATGTCTGGACAGACATTATTTGTCATGTTGTTTTATAATAGTAATCTTATGAATGCCTGGACAGGCAGCAAGTGCAAGTCATGATGTATATACCGAACCGAAGTTTTTCTTCAAGGATATCTAGCACCTCGATCGAGCCATGGAAACACCTCCGAAGAGGACTCGAGAAGCTGCAGACAGCACGCCCGAGCACGCCGAGAAGAAGAGGAAGAAAATGGATCAGTTTCCAGCACATGTGTTGGCGATGATCGAAACTCTCTCGCACATGGCTGTGAGGGCCACGAACCTGGCGAACTCCCTGATCGTCGAGTCCCATGAGCCAGAGAATCCAGACGATGCTGTGACTTTGATCTTGGGACACCTCGACGACATCGACGACCGGATTCGGGCTTTGGACGAGGAGCTTGAACAGATCGAGAACATGAACTGATGTAGATACAGGGAGTCGCCGAGCTGTAGCTATAGGTGCAGTTTTGGAATCTGAGTGTCTGCCAAAAGAGCATGGAGGAAAGGTGAGAAGAAAATGTTCTTGTTGCAGTGGAGCATGGACTTGTCAATGTCTGGACAGACATGGAAGACGATTTTGCAACAGTTGGTGTGCATATGATGCTTGGAGATCAGTTTTAGGAACATAGGGCCAGGCAGCGAGCCTAGAGCCAGCTCCCGAGCCATGGGTAAGGGAGGTCCTCACCGACGAAAGGTGCCAGATACAGACTTGGTGCATCTACAGGATGTGCTGTCGGAGGCGATTAAGCTGGAGGGAGGCCTGAACTTCTACGAGTACATGAACATGAGCAAGAGTCAGGCGATCTCTGGGGCCTCCTTGTGTTCCCTGAACTCCTTGATCACCAAGGTGATGGAAGTGCAGCCGGCCCTGATCTTTAAGTATCAGGACCTGAAGACAGTGTTTGGGACTTTGGTGAAGACCTTTGCCAGTCTACGAGAAAGTGTGCCAGTCACCGAACAAGGAATCCTGCACCAGAAGTATGCGAATGCCCTCATGACGGTAGCAGCACACACCCGAAGACTCCGAATCGATCAGAAGTTCAGAGAGTGCTGCAGCAGC